ACTAAAGAAATACAAATTAAAACAATGAGAATTATTTTGCATCAATAAAATTAGCAAAAAATTTTTAAAGTTTGATGATTTTGTGTGACAAAGGTTTGGGGGAAATAAGCATTGCCATACACCATTGACGAACATGTAAATTACCAAAACATTTATGAAGGCAATTTTGCAATATCTATAAAAGTTAAAAAAAAAGTCTGCTTTCTTTGGTACACAAATTTCACTGTTAAAGATTCATTCTGCATAAATACCTACAAAATAATACCAAAATATATGTGTAAATGATCACTGCAGCAATGTTTATGGTAAAAAATTAATACAACCTAAATCCCTATCAAGACTGTCTAAATAAATGAAAGTTCATCCATATAATTAAATGTAATGCAGTAATTAAAAAGAAAAAGATTGAGTAATCTGTATTTATAACTTGGAAAATGATCCAAACACATGAAATGAAAAAAGTAAGGCATTAATGCTGTATATAATCTTTCTTATGTAAATATAAAAAGGACATATATTTACATGCAGATCTAGAATTAACATTTTTATGAAAAGATGTACAAGAAACTATTAATAGTGATTACCATTGGAGAGAGGTACTGTGAACAAGAGTAGAGGAATACTTTTGCTTTTTTACCTTTCTATGATTTTTAAATTTTAAATATTAGCAGTTAGTTTTTTGTTTGTTTGTTTGTTTTTTCTGAAAATCCCAAACTCCCAATTTATCCCTCCCCACTCACTTACCACCTTGGTAACCATACATTTGTTTTCTACATCTGTGAGTCTGTCTCTGTTTTGTGTATAATTTCATATTTTTTAAGATTCCACATATAAGTGATATCATAAGGTATTTTTCTTTCTCTTTCTGGCCTAATTCACTTTGTATGAATCTTCAGGTCCATCCATGTTGCTGCAAATGGTATTATTTTGTTCTTTTTTATGGCTGAGTAGTATTCTAATGTATAGATACAGATACAGATATCACAACTTCTTTATCCAGCCATCCAGCAGTTAGTTTCAATTTTTAAAAGACGTTAACACTCCTTTGTATGTACTTGCCTCCTTTGTCAAAGACAAACTGAACAAAAGTTTGTGGGTTTATTTCTAATGAGATCAGGCATGTTCAGAATGGTATGCCTGTACACTGTGGGTTTATTTCTGGACTCTCTATTTTGTTCTACTGAGCCATATGTCTGTTTTTGTACC